TCAAATTTTTTTAATACGGCCTAAATTGTATCTCAGGGTTTCTCATTTGCAAGCTGTAGTTTTTTACTTCTTCCCTGATGCTATCACTTCCAAAGATAATAGCTACCGATTTGTTTGGATTGATTTTCAACATATGATCAGTGGACACTTTTAAAATCGTATTTAGAACAAAATTTATATCGGTTACTGCTTGACCTACATCTTAAGATTTAAAAGATGAATATATTTGAGACTCATCTGCATAAAGGTGATATTTACAAGACTTCAACTTCTTGATAAATGTGGTAGTAGAGGGTATAGAAAAGTGGGCCTAAAACGCTGCCATGAGGTACTTCTGTTTTACCTCCTCTCCATATGGAATAAATATTATGAATCAGAACTTTTTGTAATCTATCATCTAGATAAAATAATATCAACATTACTGATCCATTACTAAACCCCAAAAATTTAATATAGTACGGAGTATTTTATGATTGATGGTGTCAAATGCTTTAGAATATTCCAATAGGAGATATTGGAAGAATCCAACTTCATACACAAGTCAATAAAAATATTCTCTGACAGTCAAGCTCTTGGCTCCCACCGAGTGACGTCTAAATTGGTGGCAAATTGCCAAAAACGACTCTCCTCGATAGGAAGACTTAACAGATTGTCTCTTGTCTGGATTCCTGGCCTTACTGTCCTGGAAGGCAATGAGACTTCTGACTCCCTTTCAAAGGAGGGTTCGGCAAGGAGCTTTATAGGACCAGAACCTGTCATTGGCATCGCTTTAGGCTTTGTCAAACAAACATTGAACACCTGGATGGCAAGAAGGTTTATGGACTTATGGCAGAATCTTCCAGGATTGACTCACTCCAAGGCGTTTATTCACCCTTCGAAGCTTGATACCAAACAGTTGTTGGACTACAGTAGGGATGAACTACGATGTCTAACAGGTCATTTGAATCTTCATATGCAGAGACTCGGACTGTTGGAAAACAGTGCGTGTCGCCTCTGTTTGGAAAATGATGCAACAACAGAGCACATACTTTGTGCCTGCCCCGCTGAGGACCGAATCAGGTTTTCAGAGTTTGGCAGAGCTGTACTTTTACAATCTGACCTGAAAGACCACTCACCATACAAACTAATCGGCTTCGTTAAGAAGCTGGGTTTAATTGGTGGAGTTTGAATAGGTTTGAGCCATAATAAACCATTGCGGGTTGCGGTGGAGGGTCGAATAGACAATAGATCTACTCACATTGGACCTAACCTAACCTAGTACAGTTATAATGAAAGGACAACAAATTTTTACAACAGTTATGTTGGTTTAATCTACCCCATATCCTTATTATTTTATGCTATCCATGAAGCTGAAGATTTAATTTTCAGTAGTGGATAAAAAAATTAGTTGAACACATATACCTACCTTTTTTTCTACTCGTGTCATAAAGGCGCAGCAAGTCTTCACCCGGTAAGACATCTGTTTGAGACATAGTAGAAAAAGAATCGCTAATAGCTTCTACATTTTTCAAATTTTCAATGAGTTCTTTATTTTTACTTTTCGCAACTTTCAATTTCTTAAGTTCCTACCATCTACCCTTACTATCAGTTGTAGTTGTCCTTTTCTCGTAGTCTTTTTTTTCGTATTGTATGTGCTACTGTAATTGCTCAATTGTTTATAGTGATCCCAATGACGTGCTAGTTTTGACTTTTTAAATCGAATTAATGCTTCGTCTCTCAATTTCTGCACCAGTCTTGTGTTTTCAGTTATACAAAGACATCAGTTATCAAAGAGATGGGTTTTTTGTGAATGAACATCAAGAGTTTTTGTAATGAAATCATTCATGAGATTTACTTTAACATCTATATCTGCAGTTTCATATAGTAGACACCAAGGTCGGTTTATTAAATCAGCACTGTCAATATCGATATGTCTAATGTTATAAGTTATTTTTGGTTTTGTATATTGGGTTCAGTTTCAAAGAAAAATTCAGCCTCTGTCCATGCATGATCTGAGATATCATTGTGTACAACATCAATTTCATGATCTTCATCAATATTTGTCTGGCAGAGAAGACGATGTACCCGTATTTATTGTCGATTCCGAAACAACCTGTCTGAAGGTAAATATTTCTAATACCGTCTGAAACTTTTGAAACCTAGCATATTAATATTGAAGTCACCTAAACATAATATATACCCATAACTATAAACTTATTTCTATCCGCGTTCAAATTCATCGAAATACATTTCACCTCGAAATAATTTCTTATTTGACTCGAAATAATTTCTTATTTGAAAGTATTTCTCTGAAAAATCCTACCCCTCCGCCTCTGGATAACCTATATTTGCGTAAAAATAAATAAGGAGCAGAACTTCGTTAATGCTGTCAATGTCTGCATGCATTCACGTTTATGTTACGTTATGAAATTCATTAAATTTTGATGATAAGGATCTGACATTCATATGACATATATCCAACATGAACCAAAAGAATGTTTATTAAGTAATTTTTAAAGAGAAGAAAAAGAAAAAAGAAAGAGAAGTTAGAGAAAAATGAGGCAAAAATACAAAATAAAGTTTAAAGAAATAGTGAGAGATAGCTACCGAAAAGAATTCGGTAGATTTCCAATGAAGCTCTGCTAAGTCATTGTGGATCTTAATTAGAGAATACAATAATGAATATAACTAAAACTCGAAGTTTACCGTTTTAGCTATAAATGCAATGTTATAATTTTTATAACTATACCGAAAGATGCATCGGGAAACTTGTCACAGTTCTAGCGTGTGAGGAAAGTATTTTCGTTAGATTTAGTCTAGGCCAGAGATTTCTATTGTACCTGTCAATAAGAATTCCTCTTCAATACCTAGTTAGTTCTCTATAAATACAGTGCATTTATTTAATGTCCCCCCCCTTTTATTTTTTGAACGGGTCAACTCAAAAAATTGAAATTTGGGATAATAAAATTAATACATGAATACTTTATTTTAAGTGAAATTGACAGATGAAACTTTCAAGATGGCGACTGGGCGCCATTTGAGAAAAAAGAATTAAATGGAAAGGAGGGCCTTGTGACATATTTTTTTGAAGGTCTTGACAAATGCTTTACAATCCTAAAATATAATGTCAATATCTTCAACTACTACAAAATGGCGTAACTTTTAATAATTGTCTGAATACATTGACATTTAACTACATAATATGAGACAATAAGCTTGAGGTCAGTTCAGAAGATGCTCGAAATGGTTGCCTTGAACTTCTTGACATATGAACAGACTATCCGATATTTCACGCCGAACAAAATATTTATTGTTCTCTGCCGTATATCCAATATTGAAGCAGGTTCAGTTTCGTACAACTTTTGCTTCAAATAGCCCCATAAAATAGTCAAAAGGTGTCATATCTGGTGAGCGGGCTGGCCATTCTGTAGGACCTCGACGGCCAATCCAACGACCGGGAAAAGTGGTATCCAAATAGTTTCTTACTTGTCTGGAGTAATGTGGTGATTCTCCATCTTGTTGGAATACAATATCCATATCGAGTTCATTAGATTCGCTTCGACGATTTCAGTGATGAGAGGGTTAACAGTAGTTTCCAGTATAATACAGTTTCCTTGTTGAATTTTAATCAATAAAAAGAGGTCCTACAATATGGCTTCCCAATATTCCTGTCCAAACGTTAATTTTTTCTGGATATCGGGTATGTGTTTCCGGAAAAAGTGAGGGTTGGTGTCACTCCAATAACGGCAATTTTGTCTGTGAACATTGCCGTTTAAAAAAAAAGTACATTCGTCACTAAACTAAATATTATGGAGATAGGTAGGATGCCTTGCAATGGTTTCCGTCATGATTTCGCAGAATTCTGTTCTTCGATCAGGGTCGTCTTCAGTTAATTGGTGTACCATTTTAATTTTGTATGGATGATACCTATTCCTCTTCAAAAGTCTCCACACAGTAGAAGGAGACACCTCATAAACATTCGTGACGGAATAACTAGACTGTTCAGTATTTACTACCATCTCACCAATTATTTGCACTTGCTGTTCTTCCGGAATGAACGGATGGCCTGGGGGCTTTTTGTTATGTACACTACCGGTAGTTGTAAATTTGGATACAAGTTCCCTCGAATATTTTCTACAGATAGGACGATTCGGAAAATGTTCATTGAAAATCCTTTCGGTCTCGTGAAAGTTATGCGTCGCTCCATAAATAATAATCGCTTCAATTGTTTCTTCCAGTGGACGAGAATTGACCATTTTAGAGATTGTTGACGTGGTACCGTTCTACTAGTAAAACCGAAAACTAAATGAGAATATTCTAACTGAACAATGATGTTCTTTGTCGTACTGACATTCTTTGTCGTTTTTATAAACAAAAAATAACTTAACAAACCTTATCGGGTTGTTGGAATTGTCATATGGCAGATAAAAAGGAATGTTTCTAGGAATATCGATATTTATGTGTTTGTCTTCAGGAAATTATTAAATGTTCCGCCATTTTGTGGTAGGTGAAGATATTGACTTCATATTCTAGGGTTGTGAAGTATTCGTCAGGAGCTTCAAAATGATGTGTCACAAGACCCCCCTTTCCGTCGCCATCTTGAAAGTTTTATCTGTCAATTTCACTTTAAAATAAAGTATTCATGCATTAATTTCATTATCCCAAATTTCAATTTTTCGAATTGACCCGTTCAAAAAATGAAGGGGGGGGGCATTAATCATCATCGAAACGACATATTTGTCAGAAAGGAACGGTGGTGATCATTTTGAACAATCATTGGGATAAACTGGAATGGATTTTGAAGACATTTTTGTAATGGTGCATTTTCATATCAATTTTATCCGTGATACCTAGTTAGTTTTAGGTGGGATCGTTTTACATTCGCGCTGCATGAATATAGACGAATTTTGCTCCACAGCTGACACCATTTGAGACCTGACTTACTTGCTACTGACTCATAGTCCATTTTATCCAATCACCACCCAATTCATCTATTTGAAAAAAGCGTTTCGTTGTTTCAGGTCTTACTCTGGACCAAAACCTCTCGATGGGTCCGTTGGGTCCCCAGTCGCCGATGGACATAAAACCTGACGCGTCCACACTCCAGTTCAGTCCGCAGGGTCCTAATAGTCCTGGATCGTTTTCGTTGGGCCATGCGAACTTGCTCAGTCCTTCGCCGGGGGGCCCTAAAGGGGTGCCCAATTCGCCGTATCCTCCCAACCATCCCCTGAGCGGGTCCAAGCATTTGTGCTCGATTTGCGGGGACAAGGCTAGCGGAAAGCATTATGGAGTATACAGGTGAGTTGAAAATTTTGAGGGAAATAAATATATTACTTTCAACGTACGCAGAGGTTAGAATAATGATTATAATAATGGCTTTTATTGATGGTACCATAAAATTACAACCAATCAAATGGCAGGATTCAATATCTGCGTATGATAATTCATCGCAGAGATTGCTCTTCCAACTAACCATAAGAACAAAAGGAAAAGAAGTAATCAATTTATAACTCCTATTTAATTATATGCGAGCGCTTTCGACAGCTGGTCGTGCTGTCATCATCTAGGCTCTACTCGAGTTTGAATAGAGCCTGAAGCCGTCCCTGACCAATATGCCGTCCAGCTAACAAACACATGACATCACCCCGAAAGAATGCAGTCGGCAACCGCCGGTATAACTCTAGTCGAGTACCGAACCGACTACAGATTTCTAGAAAGAACCGTTACATTATATAAGCCCAGCTTCCCAACCTAAGAGGGCAGTTCAGAAAGTGAATCGAGCGGCTAAACCAGAAATTCAAATAATGGAAACAAATTAGGCGTTAGTTGCTAAGAGTTGTAAATAAATTGGTTTGTGATTAATGAAATATTGTTGGAAATGAGCTTGTTTGAGACAGTTAATTCTTTAACTTGTTACAATATTCTGCACGACCGATTTAAGGGCATCGTCATCTCACGTGGAGGTGATGTGACCTGACCATTGAGATCGTGACCCTGTTAGACTTCTTCTTGTGGTGTTTTCTTGAGTCGCAGGTGTATGGGCATTTGATCGATGTTCCACACATCAGTAGGACTCTCAAACGAATAAAAAATTTTTAATGATAGCTCAAACACACTTTGTTTTATTTAAATTTAAAGTAAGGAAGCTCATAATGAAAGACCCTTCATTTTTAATTTGTAAAATTTGCATTTTGTCATATAGTCAATGAGAAGATTTGTGAAAATTTCGTCTCGTAATGACTATGCTAATTAATAGCTTCCTTTACAATTGACTATTGTTAATGCTAACCATATGGAAATGATGCACCCTTCACAATGAAAAATCGCCAGGAATCGCCATTGTGATTCCGTCCAATTTGCATATGCAAATTCTATTCGGGATTGATCTTGAACAGTCGCAAGGTCGCCGTTACTCACCTGACACGTGTTTGTCACCTCTCGACAATTATACTTGCTAAAATTACGTAACTTGGCAAATCACGTTTATGAATTCGATTCTCAATGGCGATTCACGACGAACGAATTAATTGACGCTAATTCGCTGGGATTTGTTTTGAACTGCGGGTAATTTGTCTGATTACAATCAACACCTGATGTTGTTATTTGCCGAGCCTGCACATAATATTATCAGAAAACTGCAGGATATGACTGCACAAAAGAGTAAGATAGGGACGATCAATTATGAAAAACTCTTCAAACGGTATGTGATATACAGTGCGTTCATAAAATAATGCATAAATTTAGTATTAGCGAAATCCCAGCAGTCGCTCACAAACGAGCGAAGTAGAAAATTGTGCGAACTAAGTATCAACGAGGTCTTACCTTTCACAGATTCCTTTCACAGGTCGGATGATACGCAGTGAACACCCATCGTCTCAGAATAGGGTTCGATACCCACTCACACTAATCAACCGGTTACTCTCAAAACGGTTTCAGAATGACATTTTCCAGGTATAATTTTCTATCTCTCCGTTCAACCTCCAAAGCGATGCCAATGACAGGTTCTGGTCCGATGGAGCTGCTTGCAGCACCCTCCATCAGGAGCGACCACAGAAGGGGAGATAGTACCCCACCTTGAGGGCAGCCTCTGGTGACCCTGAACCTGATGGCCTCGTCTTGAAGAATCCTAGTTGCAGTTCTATTTACCAGCATGGCATAGATCCAGCCAGTTATGGTCGAATCTATACCTTTCCTAGCCAAAGACGATCCTATAGAATATAGATTTAGGTAGTGCATTGTCAAATGCTCCTTCAATATCGAGAAATACAGCAACCGCAATCTCCTTGTTGTCAAGGTATTGGGAGATTTTCTCTACAAGGTTGTTTACTGCTATGCTGCATATAATACCACCCTTCTGATGTGTCTGTTCAGTATCCTCTCAAGTCCTTTCAACAGTAAGGATGATTGATCATACTGATTTAGGGTCTTTCCGACCCACTTTAGGCATATATACCACCCTTGCTGCCAACCAACTGGGTGGTATATAGTTCCATGCCAGACTAGCTCTATATAATTTTATGAGAATAGGTAAAATTATTTCCAGTCCGTTTTCAAAGACGCGTGTGGAATAAAAGAGGGCATTTATATTATCATGCCATATAAATTAGTTGGTTCTAGGGCAGTATGCGTGAGATCAACTCCCTAACCTAGCCCTCCCTAGATAGAGGACTGCCACAACTTTGAATAGTTCCCTTGGGACATTCCTGAAAGTTCCCGAACGTTCTAAATCATTTCTAAACATTTCAGTGCAGAATATGAGTGATACCTATTATGATACGAGACCTTGCGAAATATTGATTCAGAGGACAGTAATTAGTTGGCATTAGAAGGGAGACATAATGCTCGGTTACGATTATTATTTTGTATTTTATAGTATAACAGATTGGTACTTTAGAGGATAAAATGTCATCGTGAAGTGAAGTTGGTCTGCACAAGGGCGAAACTTCCAGCCTTTATTGCTTCAAAAGCACGTCCTAAGGCACACCCTTCAGGTCAAAACGAAAACCTTCTTCACATATAATATTACAGAACATTCTGGAATGTTGTGAAATACTCTCGAATGTTCCGGACTGTTCTAGAAGTTTCTAAAGGGCGAAACTTTCAACCCTTAATAGATACAGAAGTTAATGTATGTGCTAGTCTAAGTATAATTTCGCTCATTTCTATTTCACAACCTGAGATATAGTTTGGTCACTCTGTATATACCGAGGGTTATGAGAATCGTTGAATAAAATAAATCCATTAAAATCATGGTTACCAGTAAAGAACCATGCGTTTATAGCAGTTCGTTACAGCGTGGTAATGAGTAGTATATATCTAGTGTCCGGAATCTAGTAATAGATTTTTTACGATTCTTGTTTCTATCGCCCTGACAATGACAAAAAGATCAAAACCGTGACCGTGGCCTCGTGCACGAGTGTTGCATCACAACGACCTTGGAATCGTAATGAACACTCTCTCATTACGACAAATGATTGTTTCTCTGCCCACTGCCCGTGAATCCTGTGTGTATGTGGACTTCGTTCAAACCTCTGCGATAGTGAAAAAAAAAATGGATATGGAGATAAAAATGCTTGGGAGATGAGCTTTCTGTGGTGTTACTTCCATCGTGGTTGACAGGCTATGAAATTTTCAAGTTTAATTTTGGGTCAGTCTACTACGATTTTCATCTTTAACATCTACATTTCGCATTTCCGTATTTATTAGTAAGAAAAAAGTCGATCCATCTAATTGAAAACCTTCATTAATTAGACACTATTATGGTTTTTCTCCATTAAACCTCGGCGACAATAGTGAACGTTCAGCTTACGCGTTCTGTAACAACTGTTGTAGTTTCTTAGAAATGATTAAATAAATATAGATATACCTTAAATTAAACATTATTTTTACACAATGATTAGTCGCGATCCTTTGTTTGCAGGCATGTTAGGTGTACACATTCTCGAACCATCAGTCCACCCTTTCGTAACTGTGTCGTGAGTGTCATACCAAGTTTCGTCTAAATAGAAAATTTGCCGTTGTCATTGTCTATATTTAGTTATTTGTTCTAAGTATTTGTTACCCAATTCCACTATTCTACTTTCCATAACTGCTTGACGTTTGTTCATTATTTTAAATCTAAATCCTAGTTTATTTATCCAATTCTGAAGAGTTTTGTCACAGTAGCTCACATTATGGCCGGAAGTATTCAATTTCAGTTGTAGGAATCTCATTGCTTTTGTAACAGTCGAATATTGTTTTTTTTCAATGATTTTATTAGATGAACATCTAAAGGTTTTGGTAATCCTATATCACATCGCGTCTTGCGTTCATAAGGTTTGTTTTTGACTATTTTACGTAGAGTTGAGAAAGGAATTTCGGTCAAATCTGATGTTGCTTGTAATAGTTTGCTTCCCTCGAAACCAAACTTGAGATGTAGATTGTTATATACATTGAAACATATTTTCTGTGTTTCAATATTCAAATGCATCCGAATCTTATTCACTGGTATCTCTTTTTTGCATTGTTCACCATCGCTATTGGAATCACTACACTAGAAAAAGTCTACGTTTCTATCACACTCGTTATTACTGTTAGTACCTACTTGTCCAAGGACGCCACATTTTAAACAGATTAAAAAATTTTAAGTAATCATAACTGCAATACGAACCGCCTAGTCTACAGTCTACGTGGACTAGTTCGCTGCCGGTTCATTTCTATGTATTGCTTTTTTTGGCCTTTGAGAGTGCCGCCAATCCTAGGAGTGCTGAATATCGTTTACTTCGACTATAACTGACGTTATAGCAGTTTCTTTCTACCACTGCAGGTAATAACAGACGTACTTTGCAAAATTGAATATCTGAATTTTGATTATCTGTGACAACGTGTATACCCTAATTTGAAAACAATTAGTAAACTAGATCAATTTGATCATTTAACAGGTTGTACCCGTAATTTTTATGTTTAGAAATTTCCAAGGATTCCAAATAATTGAGTTTGCAACCCTCCCTTGAATAGTGAAAAATTTCCGTATGGTTTAGATTCTTGAACTTGAGGTTGCATGCCAAGGAATGGTTTGAAAACGTCGAATCATTTTTACCTAGTCTGAAGGACCTTTCATGTTCAGCATACCGTTTTGAGAAATTTCGACTACATTGTCCTACATAAACTCTATTACACTCCGGACACTTTAGCTCCGGAGTTAAGCTCCAGATTTCTCCAACTTGTCCACTTTATCTTTGGCACTGAAAAGGAAAAAAGATAACCTGGCATGTGGTCTGAATGTCACTTCCAAATTGTTTTTTCTGAAGAAACCCGCA